AAGGACTCCCTCTGATTATGGACAGAAAGAAGCAAATATTTTCAGGACAGTGGAAATTCAGGAAACCCAGTTAATGAAACTGTTCTTGAAACAAACAGGATATGGCCTTTCTGCATCAATCATCATGGATTTAATTAGATGAAAGAGAGGAGAGAAACAGGATGGGTGGTGGAGATTTTCTTTTGTCTCACACAATTTTCATTTTCCAAATTCATGCTGACTTGTGCTTAATAAAAATGTTTTCGCATTAACTTGCAAACAACTTTCTGCCACTGTAGGAAGAATACGTTTTGGAAGGAGTTCAATAAACAGGAAAGGACAATATAATGCCCTTCATCTGTAATCATTTAACTGCAGCTGTACCCACAACTAACAATGGAATTTGCCTAATGCACAAAGCAAATTGATATTTATTTTATTTATGCATTCATCAGATTTTTTATTCTACCTTTATTACTTTATAAGTACCGTAATTCAAGATGCCAAGTATATCTAATACTCTTTCCTCCTCCTGTTTTGTCCCAACAACCTTGTGAGGTAAGTTGGGTTGAGAGTTTTCATGCCTAAGGCAGGACTAGAACTCACAGTCTCCTGGTTTTCAGGCTTAGAACTGGTAAAGAGATAACTTCTACACACCAAACTGGTATACAAATTGGCACATACCAAACTGAAGTCACGATTCAGGAAACATGAAAGATATCATGATGTCTTTGAGATTTGCTTACTGAGATAGCCATAATCAGGAAAAAATCCTAAATTCAAGGTATTCATGTTCAAGCCGCGTAAATATCCTTAGTTCTCCACCTATGACCGTTTGCAAATTCCTGCCTGCATGTCTCGGACAATTTGACATATAGTCAAGGACTAGGAGAGAAAAGGAGGATATGAAAGGGCTTTGTGCCTCTTAATACAGAGCTATTATCTCTCCCACAAATCAGAGTATCTCACAAAAAGCTCACAGGCATAAGAGGATTGCTCCAAAGACCAAATGACATTCAGCTCTGCTCATTTCTCAGTGATGCATATGTAGTACTTCTAGAAACCTATTGCAGAAACAGGGACTGTCAAAGTACTCATATTGCCTTATAAAGTGAGCATGAACTAGCACTAAAATTTTGGGCGACAAAGGTTTTGGGCAGTTCTGGCTTTACCACTTTGAGAATACAGCCCCTGCTCCCCCCCTAGCCCTAACCCCCCCCAAAAAAAGTATTGTTTCCTTAGCCTAAAAAATAATTATTATATAGATATAAAACCAGGCTCAAATTGTCCTACTTTGGATACATTATGCAAAGTCCCAGCTCTCTGGAGAAGGCTCCAATGTTGGAAAAAGTGGAAAGAATGGGAAGAGGATGACCAGCAGCAAATGGGATGGACTCAATTCCAGCAGTGATGAATGTACTATTGGAATAGCTGAAGGATCAAATTAGAGGCAGATCATCATGAAGAAAAAATTATCTATGTGGTTGCTATCAGTCAACAATGACTTGATGGCATGTAATCAATCAATCAATCAATCAATCAATCAATCAATCAATCAATCAGTCAAGAGATACTTTCTCCAAAGAAAGTAGTCTAGCCATTTTCCTACATGCAGGAGTTTTGTGTGCTTATCGTCAACAGCAAAGAATTGAACGAAGTATGCTATTTATATACTCAAACTATCTCAACAATATTTTCTAATGAAAACTGTTCAAAGGATCTTCCCATAAAAAATACAGTTAAGACCCATTTTAAAGAGCAACAAAAAGAAAATCCACAGATGGTAGCAACGATTGGAAGAGGAGCACGCAGTCCTAATATACAGAGAGTCCTCAATTTACAGCCAATTGTTTAGTGACTGTTCGAAGACATGACAATACTGAAAAACAATTACGGTACTTCTGACTGGTCCTTGCGCTTATGACGGCCATAGAATCCCCTGCAGTTCCTTGGCAACGGGCATGAATTTATGATCGTTGCAGCATCCTGAAGTCACGTGATCACCACCTGCAACCTTCCCAGCCGGCTTCCAACAAGCGAAGGCAATGGGGGAAGCTGAATTTGCTTAATGACCGCAGGCTTCACTTAACCCAGTGATTCTCAATCTGTGGGTCGGGACCCCATTTGGGGTCGATCGACCATTTCATGGGGGTCGCCAAGCAAGGCTGTCCGCCATTTTTTTTGTCCGCCATTTTTTCCCCCTTTTCCGGTGGGTGCCTTGCCTCCCTTGGGCTGGGCCAGCTTGGTGGTCAGCCTGCTCCGTCTCTGCCGCTTGCCAGCTACGCCTCGGCCGGCGCAGGGGGCGGAACCACGCATGCGTGGCGCTCCCGGGCAGGGAAAGTTCTCGACTTACGACCGGTTGGGTAGTCCTCGACTTATGACCGGTTTAGTCCTCGACTTACGACCGGTTTAGTCCTCGACTTACGACCGGTTTAGTCCTCGACTTACGACAGGTTGGGGTCGCGGCATTAAAAAGGTTGAGAACCACTGACTTAACCAGAGGGATTCACTTCACAACCCTGGGAAAAAAGGCTACTAAAATCAGGCTTGAACTCACTTAACAGTCATCTTGCTTAGCAACAGACATTCCAGTCCCAATTTATGATCATAGGTCGAAGACTACCTGTAAATGGTTTCCTGCATTAAGATGATATCCTCTCATGGAGAAAAGCTGCAATTTAATTTAGAGCTTAGCCAACTGAGACATAGTGAGTCTGACATGGAAAAGTGTCTACAATCTCCCCTTGCATTTGGAAACTTTAGAGGTGATGCAGCAAATTATTTTTCTAAATAGGCTGTTCAGTTATAAGGATCCCAGTTTAGGTGTACTGTGAAACATCAAATAGCATTTAGCTCTGTTTCATCATCTAAAAAAATGAAGTAAAGCAATATGCTGTATTTCCTTCTATGGCCCTTCAAGATCCTCACAGACAAAACTGGTTATTTACAGCTTCTAAGGTAGGTTTTAACCTTTTTGGTGGTGGGGGGGAGAGGGCAGCAGGGATACAGGTAATCTTCCTCTTGCAACACCTTTTCTGTACAGGAACAAGTAAGGCATTCTACATGGAGGAAAAATATGCAACTCCTTAAATCACGGAAAGAACTGAACCCTGAAAGAAAGAACTGATACTCCGCTTTCGGCATGGATATAATGAGGCTTTGCTGGGGGGCACAGTTTTCCTCCCATCTCTTCGATATGAAGTTTGTTCTTCTAGATTCTAAAAAATTGTTATTGATGCACCCAGCCTGCATATCAACAGATCATGCATGCATCCATGAAATTATATATTCAGTAGAACTGACTGTTTCTTTTCCATTTGTCTGCCGGCAGTGATAGACTTTCTCTGTGCAATCTGGCGCCTATAGGACAGGGGGAGCCTGAATAAGGATTCATAGGCTTCAAAACACAAGGAAACCGGACTGGTAGGTTGGACTGCTATTGTATGCCAAATTCTATCTTCCAGCAATGGTACTCACTTGAAAATCTGTGGAAATGCTTTGCTGTATCATCAACACTATTTACAAGCCTGATTTTCAAAGGAGGCTCTCAACTGGGATTGGGTTTTAAGTGCATCCTGCTTTTGTACTTGCTCCCTATTTACTTGTTTGCTTGTTGTTTAACCACATGCAACGAATAGTAAACTTTGCCATAATCTCTGCAAGTTAATCAGATGCTTTTAAGGGGCATTTTCCCTTGTCCCCAAGTTACTTTATTGATTAGAGTTGTTGGATACTTTATTACGTGTTAATTGATACTACAATATTTATTAACTTCCCAAGATCATTTCTTGATTGGGGAAATTCCAGATAAAACTAAAAAAGAGGTTTCCAAGTCAATTCATATACAATAGAGAATATTTTCTTATAATCAAGGAGAGAAGCAACCTAGAACTAAGAAGAAACTTCCTGACAGTTAGAACAATTAACCAGTGGAACAACTTGCCTCCAGAAGCGGTGAATGCTCCAACACTGGAAGTTTTTAAGAAGAGACTGGACAGCCATTTGTCTGAAATGGTATAGGGTTTCCTGCCTGAGCAGGGGGTTGGACTAGATGACCTCCAAGGTCCCTTCCAACTTTATTATTATATTACATTACATTACATTACATTACATTACATTACATTACATTACATTACATTACTATACTATACTATACTATACTATACTATACTATACTATACTATACTATACTATACTATACTATACTATACTATACTATATTATATTATATTATATTATATTAAATAAGCCTTCCAAACAAACAATCCATTTGGGTACTTCAATACGGTGTTTCCCATGCTCATCAAATGTATTATATGTGTACCTCTGAACAAAATAAACTGTTTTCTGACCTCTTCTGACACTGATTAAAATTTGAATGAAGAGAGGAACATGAAATGAATAGCATTATCTAAAGAAAAACAGGGAAAAGGAGGAAAGCTCAGTCAATATTTGAATATTTAGCCTTTAATAGGAGGCTGCACTTGTTATCCAAAGGTATATCACTAGCACTCTTCCCTTCAGTAATATGTCCCAGTTATATTACCAAGTCTATGTTTATGACCAAGGTGATGGGCCAAAGCAAGACTATCCTCTGTGGAGAAACAGGCTTTTTAAGCCACAACAAATCTCTCTATACCATGCCTAAAAAGGAGGCACAAAATGAGTAAGAGAACCAGAAGAATTATGTGGTAGGTTCTGACTGGACAAAGACATATCAGGAGGTTCAGTAGATAGAATAGTTCTGCCACATGATTTTACTGATTATAAAATTCAACTCAAGGTATATTGCAAAAAGAAAACAAGAAAATTGCATGCAAAGTTAGGAACCACTGAGCACTACAGGTACACTGGGCCCTCAGTTGCAGAACTTCAACTCTCAACAGTCCTAACCACCATAACCCATGGTAAAAATGCTGGAAATTGTAGTTTATTAAGTTTGGAAGATCACAGGTTATCTATTTCTGCTGCAAATGAATAATATGCCCAAAGGAGATCCATTTATGGATGCAGTCTCTTACCTTGAATTCCATAGGTGTGTACTTTTCATTCTTGGGAGTTGTGTTGCCTTTGTAATGAAGATGATTGGGAGTGGTGGGATGGATAACGGTTGATTCCTGAGATTGTCTCTGGCACCGTTGACAGTAAATGTAGATCACAAAGGTTAAGAGGCTAGAGCCAAAGAAACAGGAGAGTCCTGTGGCAATGAGGTGGATGAGGCTAAAACCTGGAAGAGATGTATTAAGAGGAAGCTAAGATCAGTGACACAAAAATGGCAAAACACCACTTGTCTCAATTATAAGTTGCAACATTTGTACTACAATTTGTAAACAAAATACTGCAAGGTTTTATACATTGCTACCATGCTGGCACTTCTTTCACAACATCCTTCCCATCACTAACTTGGCTATGTACTACCATACTCACTGCTGCACTGGATGCCAGCTGGCTTCTGGGTGCAATTCAAGGGCTGGTTACCACCTTTTAAGCTTTTTTTTATATATTTACATGAAAGCTGGGACATGACCATTGAAGTAAAGACAAGGATAGAAAAAGCTCAAACAGCATTCTTCAAAATGAAAAAGGTCTTCTGCAGTCACGACATAAGCCTAAGACTGAAAGTCAGGCTTGTCAGATGCTATATTTTTTCTATCCTGCTCTATGGAGTAGAGAGTTGGTCTCTGACAGAAGGCCACCTGAAGAGACTAGATGCATTTGAAATGTGGATTTACAGGCGGCTGTTACGTATAAGCTAAGTTGAGAAGATCAGAAATGAGGAGGTGATAAGCCGCCTGGGAAAGCCAAGGGAAATTAAAAAATGAAAATTAGAATATTTCGGACATGTGATGCGACACTCAGAAAAATACGGCATACTCCATTTAATCCTCCAGGGAAAGATTGAAGGCAAACGAGGTCCAGGCAGAAGAAGAACATCGTGGCTTCAAAATCTAAGGGACTGGTTTGGACAAAACTCAGCAGCACTTTTTCGTGCGGCTGCTGATAAAAACAGGATCGCCAACATGATCGCCAACGTCCGATAACGGATATGGCACAA